CCTCCTTCATGGCTGCAAGACATGGCCACTGAAGGTGGAAGACATGAAAACGTTACTGTCTTCGATCATAGGTGTCTTCGTTCCATCTCCCGTGTTAGGTGGTTTAATATGGTCAATAGTATTGACGTTAAGCTTAGAGTTTTAAGGAGGGAAAGGCAGTCCAAGAGGTTGTGAAGCTACATCGACGAGACGGATGGAACACATGTCTAGGCACCGCCTTCCTTGACTGGCGATATTAGCTGACATAGGGAGAGGTTCTGAAAGAGTTAGAGGTGGTGAAACCAAAGCCTGACATCAGACCTTAAATTCTTTGACAGTTGTTTTGAGCCAGCCATGAACAGAGATTTAGAATTCCAGATTAGGTTCTCTTGAATGCTGGGAAATAATCGCTAGAGACTACTGGTGTATTCGCTCAAAATCATTTTCAAAAGTACTGAAAAAATCACTTTTTGCGATCTCTCACATGCAATAAATTATCATCTTCAATACTAACACTCATTCCCCCATCGCACTTTACCTTCATACGCATAGCTTTTCTGCTTTTTGTCGACTTTTGTGCGCTACAAAAAGAATGCAATCTAGCACCCATGCACATCTATCCAAAGATCGATGCTGAAAACGCTGTCAGTGAGTCAGTCGATCAGCCAGTTAGGCAGGCAGGTAGATGAACACAAAATACGACTAGTTGTGTGTCCTCGACTCTACCGCCATCCACCACTTAACAAGTTTATTAAAGTTCTTAATCCTGGAAATATCAAGACATGCGTACAAACATTTCGTATGGCACAATGCAACTAATCAATCTTGGCGAAAATCCAATGGTTGGCGAATAATAATAATGATAACAATCAAGCAAAACCAGGTGAAAATGAATAAGGGATGAAAGGCTACGAGAATACAAGGTCATTACATCCCCGATTATCACATACTAAGCCTGGCATATTACTAAGCTCTTCTTGTTTCTATTACTTCCTTACAGTCCACTATTTGACCACTCTACATCAGCATAATATTCATTATCTGTCAGTCGTCGAAATTACATCCCACGCGAACTGCTTCTTTGTTTCATGGTATTCGTCTTTCTTTCACAACACTGCACATAACGCGAATCCTCCACATACCCGTGAAAATTTCATTCTCTAAAGCCAAAATAATATCGGTCACTTAATGGCCATTGCATGTAAACTCTTTTCAGTATCAGCCCACTAAGAATTCCCTGCAGATTTCCGTGTTTCCTCTGTCTAGGATCACCACGAAACAGAAAAAAATTGGCAGCATTGTCCTAATCTAATCGCTTATGACAGTAGGAAGAAAAACCAACATAGAACACTAGACAATAGTTGACTAATGCATACTTCAAGCTGCTGCACTTCGAAAACGTACATATGAACTAGGAGAGCGGAAATGTCAAAAACTGCATTACAACTAACCACTAACAGTATCATATACAGTGAGATAACAATTTAATAGAAAAAAAGCAATTGTGTTCACAATTTCCATAGTAGAACTGTAAATAAACTATTGAGTCTTAGCAACTCATACAGGCAATCTACACCTTCCACTTCACTCAGACAAAATGCCAGTTAACAACATAAATTGATGAAATGTTTTGGTCTAACTCATTATATCGGCTCTTTGCCAAACTAATCATCCTTCCCAACGACGAATCAATAAGCATTAAGACTTTACAGGTCAATGGCGAACCCAGATAACTTAGCAGTGTTAAAAGCTCTCTGACTACAACACTCACTGGGTGACTCTAGTTCTAATCGCTGAAGGCTATCTTGACCTACATCGCTGCAAATACGATTTCTTGGATTCAAGCAGTAATAACTGTTGTTGATTATACTATTCAGCTGACGGTCTCCATTGGCATTTGAATATATTCTTGAGGACAATCTACTGATTTTGATTTACTACTTGCTTTTGGTTGAGAATTAGACGTCAACGGTTTATGAATTAGGCTTGAAGAATTACAACGATTCTCCCCATTACGTGAACGCATATCACAAGACTTAAAAAGCGCTCCAGTTGACCTTATTTCTTCATCATGGTGAATACTCCACCGACGGTGACTCATTAACGGATTCGTAAATTTTGTTTTCAGTCTAGATTTCCGATTGATTCTGGTATTTTGTGAATGGAAATCTCTATCTGTTTGCTAGTGCACTCGATAGAGATCAGGCCTTTGGCCATTCTTCATGTGGAGAGGGATAGGAGTCCTTTTTTGTTTTACAAAATCCCCATCGTCTGCCGAATTATAAATGCTGGGGGGACTATATTGTCTCGTTAGGATTATTATGAAACCCCACCTGGCTTAACAGCTGGTCCTAAAACAAGAAAACAGAGGGAGGTTTGACGTGTGCCTGGCAACCCTACCCCGCAAAATAAGCCTACTCCTCACTAGAATTAGAGGGATGAAATGACGCAGACTGGTGCAAGCTCTCTGGAAGCCAGTGAGCTGATGTGTATCCCTTCGATGAGGGAAAAAAGAAGCATGAGGACACGGAATGTCCACACAATGTTCAAAGCTGAGAGGGCTACTCAGATTGTCAAAGAAATGAGAAGATATGGTGTAGAAGTGCTAGGAATCTGTGAGAACATTTAAAATATGTATGGGAAATGTAATGTTCTCAATAGGTTATGATTTAGATATAGTGCTTTCGAACATAGATGTTCATTAACCCATTTCTGAACACTGTACAGCCTGATTAGCTAGAGGAGGATGGAAGAATATTAAAGGTCGTATTGTCCAGCAGCTTGTCGTCTCTGAACATTGGGGACCGCTGCCTTCACAAAGACAGAATTAAGGGATATCGCACGAGAATACTTCATATAGGCCATTTGAATGACTGACGGATTGATTTCAACACAGAACTTTGCACCGATGTGCAGCAGTTCGAGTCACCACACTCCATGTAGCACACAAAGCAAAAGTAAAAGTAAATGCAAAACTTAGACAGTAAACAGAGATATAAGTAGTATTATCGAAGAACAATAACGTTTTATTGAGTATTTCAAGTCACAAGGAGTGGATGCATCTTCGCCATTGACAACGACGATTTTGAGCCATATCACCAATTGTCTCCAGTCATTGCTGTTCACCGTCCCGACGACCCCAAACAGGAAGTCTACACATTCCAACGTGATTTAAACTAACTGTTGGGGATTTCGTTGACTGATAAGGCCATGTTTTCGTTTGACCACCACTGTCTCTTTTCCAACCTGACCTAATGTCAGCTAACATTGCTCGTCGAGGAAGGAGACGGTTAGGGAGGCACATGTCTTAACCATCTCGATCGATGTAGCTTCACAGCCTGGTCGATTGATTTTCCCTCCCTCCTTACCTAGCACTCGACTGAACTCTAACCTCAATATTGCCCACCCGATTATACCACTCCACATGGGAGATAGAACGCAGGCACCTATTATCACAGACAGCTAGTCTTCACGGCTTCCACTCTCAATGGCCATGTCTCACAGCTGGCCATAAAGGAGGACGGGGCGGACTGATGAGCAGTACACCCGCCCTTTGGTCGATAGCCGGATATCACGTCTACGCCAGAGACGGCGTAAACTGGCATATGCGAAACTAGCCCTCTGCATTCGTGCTGAGAGTTCGTCAGCGATCAACCCGTTGGCACTAGCTGATGCAACTTCCCAAATAAGTGAAGTGGTCAACATGCTCTACCACTTCACTCCCTATTTCTAAGCTAGGAGTCGATGTGGTCCAGTTCTGTAGCATCATAATACATTTGGTGAGAGCGAATCGCATGCCAAACATTCGCAGATTGCAGCTCAAGGTGTTCAGGAGACACTGCATTTTGTTAGAGTCTTAACGTAGGAGGATTATATCATCTGCATATTCTAAGTCAACGAGATTATTCCCTTGTAACAAGTCAATCCCTGAGTCGCTGAAGTCACTTAGGGTTAAGTCAATTAGTACATCTATGATGTAACTGAATAGAAATGGGGACAATGGGCATCCCTGACGGACACCACTAGTTCTCACCACTTCAAATGACAACTAGCCGTTAGCTCTCAACTCGTTTCCTGAGTTCGAGTAGAGTGCCATTTAGATATACATAAATCACTGGTTATTACAAATAAAAAAAGATAACTACATTCCTAAGTATGACATACACTTGCTCTACCACAGATAGAATAACATTACTACGACCGCAAAGCATATTTGGAAATGATTCATCAAAAATAAACTTTTCTTAGTTTTTATGTGTGTCTTTCGTTTCGTGTGGGAATTTCCGGTTAATTGGTTGAGTTGATCTGAAACACTAGGTCTGTGTTGATGCCTTATCGATGCCAAGTACGTACTCATTGAGCTTTGGGTGTTTACAAATATGTATACACCACTTACCAAAAGAATGCTAATACATCCAGTTGATAAGTATTAAAGAGGACAAAATGTCCATTCTTACTTCCATTGCTAGTTAGCACCAACCAAAATAATTTCATAATAAATTATTATACACCGCTGAAATATCATTGCTAGGAGTCAACTTGTCAACAGATTTTTTTCCTTCACGTTCCCAGTGGAACATAGGGCCTCAATCTAGCGGCTTGAGCTTTCTGTAGCAGTGTTTAATTTTACAGGTTGGGGTTGCTAGCCTCATACCCAACCTTACCCCTTTACCAGAATTGAAAAAAATAATTTCTGGCTTAACGAGGTAAAGGAGTGAGTCGGCCGGGGGTCGAACCCCGGACTATTTGCATGGTCGGCGAGCGTTGTCAACAGATTGACCTAACATAATCAATAAATGGGAAATGTAAAACTAGTATAAATGCAGATCATCACGAATACCCGTTGCGCAAGAGGTGGCTTATATGCCCTTCGTGATCTAGTCGGTAACACTTTGGCGTTTGAAACCATGGCTGTCGATTTCGAGTCTCAGTGAGAACATAATTTTCACTGCTAGTCACCATCAACCAAAATAAAAACCACATCAAATTGATAACATAATATAAGAGACACCAAAACTCACCTCATTTCTGTGTTATATATAAAATATCTTAATACAATTGGCATAAATGAGTTAGTATCACATTTAACTGGTGCCCAAAAGGATGAGAACTTCCCATATTGAAAATCACTAAAACTAATTGTATCCTCATGATTATTGAATGCTTGAATACTGGTTCGAAATTGGCTGCAAATTTCGTTTAAATGCACAGGATAAGCATTACTATTACTGATAGGAGTAGACGTATAATTATTTACATAAGCTTTTAATAGATCATTACGGCAATAACCAATACCCAATAGATTAGAATGATTATAAGTTAAAAAAGCGGTTTGATCATGTCGACTAGTAGTTGCATTATTGACAGGTTTAAGATTTAAATTCCTCATGATAAGTGATTCAGCATTATGAATTCTAACTGGTCTACTTAAATGTAGTAAATTAGTCAAGTATTCTTCTAATTTTGCTTTGGAATGTTGTACAGACGGTAGTGTTATCGAATTCTCTGAAGTAGATTGATAATACCAACGATTAAAAGTTCTCACAATTTCAATACATTTATATATATCATGTAAGAAATTTTTTGTTAAACTCTTTTGAGTTATAACACTATGAAATATTGGATGGAATGTTTCATTTAAATTTATAGTATTGGATAGCGTATTTGATTTACGCAGATTTAATGAACATGCATTGGAATTATGCGATGTAGATTGAATGAAACTTACAAATTGACGTAACAATTTCTCTTCATGGATGACTAAACTGCTAGTGCTGGTGGTGGGGGTGCTGCTCGGTAATGCTGTTATTATGAAACAGTATACCAGAGAATAAACAATGAATATTGATGAATAAGGCTTTTGTCTAAATGCGAGTTGATTATTTCGTACAATGTTCATTGTAATTGTGAAATCCTAGTCCCAATGCATTAATATGCTATCCAGAATTGGAATCCATTGAAATGAAATATTTACACAGGGTGACTACTACTGATAGTAGTGCAATTGAGTACTACTGCTGCTGGAGTTACTATTGATGAGTAGTACGTAATGCTGTTGTGCAGTGATAATAAGCATCCATTCCGCGGTAAATTGATGTGACTCCTGTTTAAAATAGATATACACTAGAAAAAAACACTATATGTATATGTAAGACAATTTATGATATAAAAATCCTCAAGTCCCCAGTCTTCCAAATGAAACAATATTCTTAGAATAAGTATGGAACAAGCGTAAATCCCTCTTCTATCGGTTTCATTATTGCACACAGAGACGGGCTAATGTTGTCCGTTAGTTAATCTAATCAACTAAGCGCATGTCTTTCGTATTGTCAAGGTCACTAGAAATTGTAAGGTCTGATTTTTTACATGTTAAACGCCAATAGGAAATTTCATTTCCCTTCCCCTTTCAAACATTTGATTGGATGACTATTATTATTATTAGTAATAGTAGTAGTAGTAGTCAAATCAATCAAGGCCTGACGAATGGATTTTATTGGGATTCTATTGGCGGAAAGCTATGTTCAGTGAAATTATGCATTTGCCTAGAGTTCTCTAGCTTTTCAATATCCTTACTACAGATTGAATTGAATTTTAAATTTTCCTGTCCATGTGATCCGTTGCACAAGAGGTGGCTCTCGTGGCCCAAGTGCTCTAGTGGATAACGCTTTGGAGTTTGAAACTATGAGCACTGGGTTCGAGCCTTGGTGGGAACATCATCACTCACTGAGAAATGCAGGTACATTTAAATGACGAGTCCTAAACAGGACGAAATGCTCATCCTGGATTCCACTGCTAGTCACCATCCACCAATTAAATCCTTACTACAGAGTCTGACCTCCTATGTGAATGAAAGATGGGTTGACAACTCACATGGTATGCTGAAGATGGCTGTTTTATTTGAGACTGATGAAGAGTAAATATTATGCAATAAACTATGCTGAAAATCGTACATACTGCGTAGACTCATTATGCATAATAAAGCTATTATTATTATTATTATTATTATTATTGCTAATCCGTTCTGACTAGGCATCTGATCTTCAGTTTTGAGGCAGCATGGCAACTGTTGATAAATGTTTGCAACGGGCTACTGGAAATATTTGTCACTTAGTTTATCAGTTCACTAGTTTACGTGCCGGTCCTAAACCCGGAAAAGTCAGGAAGGTTGGAGTTGGGGCTAACCACTCTACCCCCCCCCCAAAAAAGAAATCAATCCAATCAAAGCAAAGAAAAATATTAAAAATACCCCACTGATAACCACTATCAAACAGATAATGTCGTGTTGATCATAAGACATCATGGGAGCCTTTGTAAGAGAAACTGAAATGTCAGCTGTGACGGATTGTCTTCGTCAAAGTGAGAAGAATAAGAATCTACCGCATAAAATGTGCACATTTTTACTTTTATGTTTCTCTCTAACTGCAGACAGCCTAAAATACACAACATAGAAATAGTGGGATAAGAACACATACTGTTTTATTATATTCAGTGGGAGTTTGATACGAGGGTCGTAATTTAACGAAATAACAATGGGTGGAATATGCGATGATATAATAATTGGTCACAAATAACGCGAAAATAAAGAAAGCAGTTGTTTGTTGTAAGTTTAGTACGATAATTGAGTTTTCTTTGTCGAATTAACATTTAAAAAAAATACAAATGGACCAGCAAAATACAAAGAAAAACTATTATCTAATACTATATGGGTGTGCTTTTGGAAGTTATTAGAAATCACTTATCTCCAAGGCTTCCTACCGATTGCTTCTAACCATGAAGTAGCAACAATTCACAGTACATCATGATGGCGACCACTTAGAATGTTGGCCACACTGCAAACTTAACTGACTGGCTGAATTCGGTCTGAGAACCAAACAAAGGGCTGGACACATCACACTGGTTACTAACTAGTGTTCATTCAAAGTATCCAATACAGTCAGTCCTAAAGGAAGTCACTCGCGAGGCCGAATAGCTAGCTCAGGGGTTAAGTCTCTGACAGCATCACTGGGTGACGCGGGTTTGAATCTCAGAAGGGAGGGACATCAATCCCTTCAAGGTTGCAGATATGCCCTGCTGACAAGTGTCAACTAGCACGAAAACTAGGTCCAAGGTTTGCTGCTGACTGCCTCCAACCATCTAATATCATCAGATTAATGTGCCCCATGATGGTGGGCTGTCTAGAATGCTGGCCACAGTTCAAACTTGACTGACAGAATTCAGTCTGCACCAAACAAAGGACATACATTACACTAGTCACTAACTAAAGTCCAGTCTAAGATCAGTAGACCAGAAAAAAATCCACTGTAGCAATTATTATTGCTAATAATAATTTGAAAAGAACATTCTTCTCAACAATGCTAAGAGAAGTGTGTTACAGTTTCCCATTGGTCTGCAGAAGACTTAAGGACAAGATCTCACATCTGACCACTTCTGTATGCACATATCAGTTCACTTGTTACCGTGGAGTCAGGTACATTGGTCGTTCGACACGTAACCCGTCTAAAGTGGTTTAAGAACACTCTCCTGCATGATTGTGGAAAGGTAGTAGTGGTTGTATAAGCAGTGGAATAATCGAACACCTTGTCAACACTAACCATTCCATCTGAATAAACGCCTCCTCCTTCAAAGTAATCTTCAGAGTCAAGAATAACCTACCAAAGGCAATACGTTTTCGTCTCCTTTGTATTGATGAAGCCTTAGCCATTTAGTTGGAAAAGCCAGAGCTATGTATACAAAAGGAAATCATCCAACCACTTCCACTATCATGACAACAACCGTGTTGATTTCTACTGACCTGATGTCTGTGTGTCTGATTTTCTAGCTCCTTATAACTGTTGTATTTCTTCACAACTCTTGCATAAGTCCATATTTTCCTTCGTCTCTATGTAAATTCTAATCAAAACTTACTTACTGAATTACTTATCTTATTACGTAACTACAATACACCTACTCAACTTCTTTTATGCATTGACTAACATCAACAACTATCTTTTGACAACTCATCACCACTACCCTTATACTAATCTCCACTACCCAATTACAATGTGATTAATCATCACATTTTTTTGAAATACTTTGATGACTTAGACAACAACCCTAACTAATTTTTATTCTTGTCTGACAAAGCTAATGTACACACATACTGATGTCGGCTCATGATGAAATTCTGTAACCAATCAAACAAATCCCTACAATATAGAAAAAACAAACCCATTTAGACATTCAGAAAACATAAAGGTTGAGCGAAGACATACTTACTTTTCAAGTGTCAGAAGCTAGAATTCATTGGCCATTGCATTGGGTCCCAACGGGCTTAACGGTCTACGGGCTAGCTCGCCTTGTAAGCAGAAGGTCCTGGGTACGAAGCCTCACGGTTGGTGCGTACTGCTGAAGACGAAATAGCTGTCCAGTACTCCTTGCAGGTTTTCCAACAGTTCTCTAACTGATATCAGTTCATGATGAAATCCTCCAACCAATCAAACAAAATCCCTACAAAACCAATACTTGACATACTAAAGTAATTATATAATTATAATGTGAAATATATTGTTGCGACTGTACAGCTTAGTGAATGAATTCGCCGAAAAAAGACTCTTCTCTGAATTGCGTGTTTTGTTTTCCTTTAAACTTTTACCATTCTCATTATTATTGTTACTATGGCTTTTTCTGACCTACTGATCTTAACTCACACAACCTACTTCTAATCACTTCCAAATGGTATAGTATTATACAGTCTTTTTAGTACTGTACCTTGCTGGTCGTGTAGTGTTTCGTCTGCTGTTTATTCTCCTTATAAAATACTTCGTATATTGCTTCAAAATTATGATAAATAACCACTTTCTTTTTCTTTTTATTTTTGATTTACAGCCTGATTCCACACTGTATTTTTGGTACAAGTATGGAATTTTCACCATGGATATCGGTAGCCCAAATTTTGCAGGCCAACCATAGATATCAGATGTGCGTCGGTGCGGGCTCGAACCCCGGACCATATGCATGGTCGGCGTGAGTCCTAACCACTGTGCCACCGACGCACATGGTAACTGATTATGCCAACACAGTTCACCTATTGTTGTTTCCTTAAAGTATGCTCTTCATGCTAAACATCTACTGAATAGAATAGTTTTTTTTTCCTTCACGTTCCCCAGTGGAACATAGGGCTTCAAGCTAGTGGCTTGAAGTTTCTGTAGCAGTGTTTGTTATACAGGATGGGGTTGCTAGCCTCATGCCCAACCTTTCCTCTTTACCAGCATTATTTCTGGCTTAGCGAGGTAAAGGAGTGCATCAGCTGGAGATCGGAGCCCTGACCATGTGCATGGTCGGCGAGCGTCCTAACCGCTTATGCCATAGACGCACGAATTAAATAGTATATGTTCTTATTTTAAAACTATTTATAGTTGGAAAGATGTCGTAAAACGGAGTGTGCACACTTTACACTGTCAATTTTATGCCTTTTGCTTTTATAAAAATGATCAAGAAAACTGGGGGGTGTATAAGAGGTAGATCATTTCGTCCCCATAAATAAAAGACAAGTCAAAAGAAAATTCCAAAAATTAGAATCTTTCACAAATATTTGTCAGTGTTATTATTATTATTGATTACATGAATCAGATGACGGAAACCACAAGAGACTCTTTTTTTCTCTTGGTCTATCGTAATTAATGCATCTATGAATATATATATATATATATATATATATATATATATATATATATATATATATATATATATATGGAGTGAAGACATGTATTACTTATCTGACTGCATTATAAGCCAATCAGAGTGAAAACTGACCAAATCAAGGTCATTCACAATTGACTGATTGACTGGATATTGTCATTATAGCTTTATACTACTGATTGATTGGACACACTAGTAACTAGTGTGATGTGCGTAGTCGTTTCTTTGATGCAGACTGAATTCTATTAGTCAAGGCCAAGGCTTCATGCCAATTGCCTCCAACTATCTAGTACTGCAGGTTGATTAATATGAGTAGTTGTATGAATCTAAAATCAAGGCAGCTCAAGGTACCAACAGTTCCTAAAAAGGCCTTATTCTTATAAATGCAATTCCTTGGGGGCAACATCAGCGAGATACTAACACAGCGCCGTAGAAATGCGGTAAAAAGAGAATTTCCTGCTGCCAGATTACGCTGTGTCTTCAAAACCACCCACTACTCTTTTGCGTTCGGGAGTAAAACACAAACTGCCTAATTTTGCCTCTTCTCTGTGTATCTACGAATTTAACTGCCCCTGTGAAATGAGCCAGTTACATAGACCGTACAATTAGGCGTGTTTCTCGTCGGATT